CCAGGTCAGCTAGAAGAAAAAGGTCCATGCAGGAGTGCTAGACCCAAATTCTTCATCCCCCGAAAGGATGAGGCGACATAATCAAAGTTATGAATGCACGCCTGAGCCAGGGCTGGAATTCAGGTCTCCCAGTTCCCAGTTCTCATGTCCTGGCCACTCCACTACAACATCCCCAATAACGGCAACACCAGCAGAGTGAGAGGGCCGCTCCTGCCTCACAGCCCCAACCAGCCCAGCCTTGGAACCACATGCCTCACGCACATCTTCCTGCCGCTTGGCAAACAGAATAGAAATAGGCATAGTTCTTGCCCCCGAGCTTTCAAAAATAAATATGCATATCGTGTATTTACATTTCTATACTAAAGAGAAGCAATCATAAGAAATAATTTTCAAGTATAGTGGAAATGGAGGTGGGATCATCCATGGCAAAGAATATATTGGTTTAGGATAGTTGTTTTCAACCCTGACTTTATATTAGGATCTCTAGGGTTGAGGGGAGAGGTACATTTTTTAAAATATTAATGCAAACTTGTGAGGTAAGTTCTAGATGTTCATATTTTTTTAAACATTCCAAGAGATTCTGATGCATAGCCAGAGCTAATAACCTCTGGTTTAAAATAATGATTTCTGAAACTTCTGCCCTTTCCCTACTATGATCACAATTTGTGCCTTATAAATCTATTAACTACACAGTTATATTTTTCCTTAAATCAATCACTTATTTTTACTTATTTCCTTCAGCCTTATTCTACACAGTGCCATCTGTGAAATCATGGCCCTCTATGGGAGGTGCTATGGTTTGGGTCTAGAAGTCCTCCCACAGCCTCATGAGATCCTAGGCAGAGCTTTTGGATGAGACTGGATTTCAGGGACTCATAGCTCACTTGCTGTTAGGAGGTGAGGTCTAGTAGGGATACGAAGCACCCTGGGCACCCTGCAAAGGTGTATCTCCCTTTCCCAGCCCTCCCTTCACTCTCTCTGCTTCCCAGCCCCAGTGAAGTGAGCGCTTTTTCCTCTGTCACAACCCTAGGCCAGGATGTCCACTCTTGGAGCCAGCTGACCACTGATTGTAAACATGAGCCAAAATAAACCTATCTTCCTTGTTATGATTGATACATTGTGTCAACTTGAGAAGATTACAAGCTTTGTTTGGGGTTTTTTTTGGTTTTTTTTCCCCGGTACTGGGAATCAAACTCACGACCTCGGGCTTGGCAGGCAGGTGCTGTGCTGCTGGGCTAAATCCCGGATTACAAGGTTAACTAAGTGGCTCAGCAGGGGGCCAGGTCCTTATTTTGTAAACACCCTGAGCCTGTGCAAGAGGAAGGCAGGGAGATGGTGGGGCTGGTAGCCTGCTTACAATGTAAAGGAGGAAAAGCACTTTGCTCTCCTCAACCCTCTCCGCTTTTGCTCTGGTTGTTTTTGTTGTCCTCTGCCACCTTGAGCTGTTGCCCCTGTGCCATGCCACCCTGCCTTGGAGCCAGCTGATTATTGGCTGAAACCTCCACAAACTGTGAGCTAAATAAACCTTTCCTTCCTTAAGTTTGGGTGTCTGGTATTTTGTCTCAGCAAGAGAGAAAAGTTAACTAACACACTCCTCTAAAGTGCAGGTGTCAGGTATGGTGTCCCTAAGACAGAAGGTATCTGCATACATCAGGCTGGAACTCTGTCCTTCTTACAGCCTGAGGGAGACAGAAAAGTGTAAGCAATGAGCGCATAGCGGGAGAGCTGGTGGGGCAGAGAGTACTACGGAGGCTTCACACAGGAGTCTGGTTTCATAGTCTCCTTATGGTTTCCTTCTCCCTGTTCTGTTTTTCTACCAGTTCTGACCTCTGTTGCACCGTGTTATGCCCTATCTCCAGCTGTACCACACTTCCTCTTGGTCCCTCATCTCCTATGGTCTTGAACCCTGTCCTGGGGACACCAGACATTAAGGAATTCTGTGCACCTTCTCCACATCCCCCAAATGTAATTAACAGTCGTCCATCACCCAGAGGACATCCCAATGGACATGCAGTCAGTTAGCACTTGATAAAGCACCACTCAATAAAAAGAAACGGTTCCAATGCAATTAAAAATAGTCCCAGCAGCAGTCTCAGACATTAAATCTTCCTTACAGAACATAAATCCTACAAATATTGGAGTCAGCTCTTTGCATGAATGGTGAGGCATGCAACCCAATTCTCATATAATTTATTTATCTGGGAAGCGAATTCCTCACTTTGAGTTTCCTCATTTGCCACACTAGATTCAGTCTGCCATTTGGTGCTTGCCAGCATTTCTTCTATTGTCGTTTTTAGCAATGGCTTCATGGCTGGCTATGCCGGCAGCGGCAGCATTTGGAACAAGTGCCCTTGAGTTTCATTTCATCTTTCCTTTGCTGCTTAGAATTCCCTCTGAGAGCTCCAAGTGTCAACAGGCATGATCATTATTTGAGTCACCTGACATGATACAAGAAGCAATGTCATATCGCCTGCCAAATGAGACACATTATTGCCAGCATCTGTGCCCTAGAGGAGGGGCGCAGGGCAACCCAAGCAGATGGTCTGTGAGCTCTGACAGCCAGAAGCTGTCAGGAGAGCATCAGAAGTCCTGAGTGAGCTGAACCCCCATCATGGAACAAGCAAATGACAGTGGCCCTCTTTGCGCAAGGTAAAAGCATGAACTAGCACTCCTCCTGGCTGGAAGTGGGCTTGGGCTTGTTATCCAGAGGCCATGGAAGCTTTGGGCTGCTGCCCAAAATGTGACCTTATCCCCGTTCAGGGTGCCACAAGAGGAGGGATAAAATGGTGGTGTGTCTGCTGGCCTCACTAGAAGGGGTCTCTAGCACCTTGCCACTTACAGTACAAAGCTGGCACTGCTGGGGCTGGTTCAGAAACACCGCGGCCTGTGTGCCTTAGTAGCCACCTGTCCTGTCATTACTGCCCTGTGCCATCGGGGCTGCCTGAAGCTCCTCTCTGTTGACAGCTCCTCTCTACCTCAGAAAAGGCCTCTGTCTGGACTCCCAGACTCTGAAAGAACAAGACCAGGGGCCTAATGAAGAGAAAGTTGGGGTAAAGGCTGGGACTACCAAGGCTTCCGGATACATCCTGAGTCTGGTCTAGGCCAGTCCTGAGTGCCCTTCTGAATTTGCCATGTTACCGTATCACCCCTTGCTTGTCTCTTACATACCCAACCTGGCCCCACAGCTCCCCTCTCAAAACACCCCTCCTGGTAACCTTGTGGTTGCGACAGCCCCCTGGGTCTGCTCAGACCCCAAAAACGCCCCCTCCTCTGGTCCCCTTCTCAGTGTGTGTTAGCCCCTGGCCTCCCTTGATGAGGGGTGAGTTCCAAGGGTACAGGAATGAGCATGCTTTTTAAAACTCCAGGCTCTTGGGCCTCTCTTTTCTTTCTGTGTTGGCTAAGGTGAGGTTATACATGGCTCTATCTTTCACTGAAGTTTCTTTGCTTTTGTTCTGAGGCCTCAGAAGCTAGTTTTATTGGAGGCCACTGTGATCCAACAACAGCCAGGGCTAAGTCTCCTTCCCTGTTCCATAAGCGCCCCCCCCCAACACACACACACACATTGTAGCTCTTCTTTTGCAGCTGAGCAACACCCACGCTTCTCAACTATTGGCCAAGCACAGATGACTGGCACAAGCCATATCCAATGAAGAGTCCGAGCTTCCTGGGCTCAGGTAGGCCCTTCCTCTCAGGGGTCGAAGAAAGAGGAAGGCCCTTCCTGAGGAACAAGAAAGCCAGGCAAAAATCGAGGCCCAGAACCGCGAGGGGGAGATAGGGTTCCACGTGCAACCTCGCAGCCAAGCCCGACTGTGAGCAGGCCTTGCCGTCCCCACGCGTGGAGTCGGCCCCACACAGTGTGGCCTAGGCTTTGATTGACCTTCGCTTTGTTCCTTGGCAGAGTTCTTTTGATATTCCACCTCGCCTTGGCCAATCTAAGGGAAAAGGGATCTTGCCTTCACATGGGCCAAGGGCCTGATGCTTTGCGAGGCGCCGGGGCGCCAAAGACTGAGGCTGTGGGGCTGCTGGAACGAAATGCTTGGAGCTGGATGCTAATCCGAGACAGCTGGAAGGCTCAGCGCCTCCTTAGGGACACAACAAACAGCCCGGCAACGGTCTGTGCTGCCTCTCCTGAGGGCTTCGGGGTACTGGTCACTGGCCTGAACGCCTGGCAGGAAAGGGGGAAAGGATGAGGAGCAGCAGCAGCTCCGCGGGGAACAGTCAGCGTGGGGCTGCGGCCCCTGAGGCTCGGAGCTGCAGACCTCCACCCCGACCCCGCCTGTCTCCCAGGGAGCGACCTTGAATGGGACCTCGGATGGCAGCGGGTCCACCAGATGGCAGCGCTACTCCTGCTCAGCCGGGACAGAGCCTGCAGTGTTGGAGAGCGACCACCAGAGGGCAACACGCGGACCACTGGCTCCGTTAGGCCGCTGGTTGCCTAGCAACTGTGACGCAAGGGGCTCCTGTTTCCACCCTCCTCAAGGCCTCCCAGGTTATTTCTGGCAAAACAGAGACTGCTGTACAAGGAGTGGCTTCAGGAATCCCAGAATTGCCCCACTTTTAAGCCAGGAGAATTTAAAATAATCCATGGGATGCCGCTCTGGCGTCTACAGGATAGGGCGGCTGGCCTTACTCAGGCCAGCAAGAAAAGATAAGCATTTTCCATTCCCCACACCATCAGAGACCTCTGATTTCCCTAATGGCTAAAATGAAGCAACCCCTCCTTCTGCCTTCCTATGTGGAGCGAGTGACCTTGAGCAGACCTTGGGCCTCCTGCTGGACCACTGTACTTGCAGGGGGGGGATGGAGTAGGGGGCAAAAGGGCTCTGCTCAGACCTGTGTCTTGATTCTTCCCTTTCGCCCACAAAGACTCTCCTTCCCTCGAACTTCTGCCAGGTTTTTAGGACCCTGAGATAGGAATTCTTCCAATTCCGGATGGATAAGGACTCTATCTGACCAATCCTGCAAAAACCAGAGATGGACCCAAAGAAATGAGGCAGACACAAGACAAGGAGTGTGGTTATAATAAGCTCAAAGCCTGTGCCGGTGTAGTCTGTGAAAGGCCCCAGGCCAAAGTCAGAGAGGTCACTCTGGCCTGGCATCAGCAGTGGCTCTGGGCACATGGTGAAGAGTGCCCTTGCCCTGGCACAGGGCTCTGCCTGGGGCCCTGGTGTGGGTCTCTGAGGGGTACCATCCTTGAGGGTCACACGGGCATGTGCAGCTCGTTGTACTCATCCTGGCCATCCTCATCAAAGTTTGGTTCCGCATCTTCTGAGTCCAGCTGGAGAAAGGAGCACAGGTTTGGGGAGGCAGAGAGGCAGACTCCTCCCCTCCAGCTCCCCATATCCAACCAGCAGCGCTTCCTGTTCCCAGAACTTCCAGCGGGCCTCACTCTCTGCAGAGACCATGATGCCAGACTGAAGCATTTCCCTTGGCCAAAATCTTCAGGTCCCCCTCCCCATTACTTGGCACTCCCAATAACAATAATAATCGCACCAACTACTGCACAAGAGATTCTTCCCTGGGGCCCCTTCTAGTTCCCGCAGTAGCCCTTTGTGCCAACTTTTGAGTATGGATGAACTGCAGGAAAGGCCCTTCCCCTAGGTGACAAACAGGGCTCAGGATGGATTTCAGCACGGTGCTACCTCTCGCTGTCTGTCCCTCAGCAAGATGCTTTTTTCAGGGCACAACTTGTCCTCAGCAGCCCCTGCTTGTCTTGCACCAAACCATCATACTAAGTGCTTTACCTGGATTAGTATCTAATCCTCCCAACAGTCCTGTAGAATCTATTACACAGAATCATCAGCCCCATTATACAGATAAAGATAAGATTTCTGAAGGTTAGATAACTTCCCTAAGGTCAAACAAACCAGCAGGTGGCCCAGCAGAGACTGACACCCAGGTATCTTGATTCCACTGCCCACGTCACCCCACACCACCATCCCTTACCGCCTGCAACTCCCTGTCCTGGAAGAGCCTGGGCAGAAGGCACCGCCTCAGAGGCACCGTGAGCAGCAGCAGGAAGGGAAAGGCGAGAGAGGCCGCTGTGGATTTGACCACCCAAAGCAGTGCGATGCAGCCCAGCTGAATGCAGGTGAACAGGTGCATCCGCCACGTCTTCACCTGGGGGGTGGGCACGGGCCTCACCACCCAGCAGCCCATCTGCTCCCACCCACACACCAGGGGACTTGGGTGACCGGGTCCCAAGTAATCTTTCATGTTCATCCTGTTCATCTCTGGCCCGGGGACCCCTTGGATCCTCTCCCCATCATCCCATCACCCCGCCTCCCCTCCTCACGCCTCCTGACCTGACCTTGGTCACATAGGGCTGTTCAGGATGGTGTTTTGCCGGCATGAGGATGAGCAACAGACGCTGGGACAACTGGATACCAGACAGTGACGTGACCCCCATGTACAGGAAGATCCCAAAGAGCACAGCCAATGGGATCCGGCGCAGCACAGCCCCCATGACGATGGACAGGCCTGGAGGGGGCGACACAGACCTACCTGACCCCTAAGATGCCCCGTGAAGATACAAGGCCTAGGCACGAGGGGACAGGGACCTATCTGACCAATCAGCTGGGTCTCATGAGCAGGAGAAGATGCAGTAGGGTTCAGAACCAGGAAAGGGATCAGGAAAGGACTCACGGAGTGTCAGACGGCAGTTGAGGGCTAAAAGGGACAACTACACAGGACATATGGCAGATTCAGAGGGGACCTGTATCAAGCCCAGGACAGAGAGTTTCTGGCTGGGGAGCCCTATAAGGCATGTCTGTGAAGAGGCCAGGCTCACCCACAAGGCTGGCGATGAGCACCCCGGTGACCCTCTGCTCCCGCACCTCCTGGATCTGGGGCTTGTCACCAGGAGCGATGGCAGTGCGCATGACCGTCAGCGCATTGACGTGGGTGACAGAGCGGACAGTGGCAGCTGTGAGCCAGGGCAACCCAAAGAGCCCACAGAGGCCTCCCAGCGAGCCGATGAGCAGCAGGTCGAGGTGGAAGCCGGAACCCTTGAGCAGCCTTCTGGCTTTCTGGCTGACAATGAGCCTGCAGGGGGACAGGATCAGGTGGCTGGCCAAGCCTGCAGTGGGCACAGCACACACCTACACACACACACACACACACACACACACACACACACATACACACACACACACGGGACAGGATGGGGGGGGAAGTGCAGACAGCAGTCCTCCCCAGCCCCTGCCAGCTTCCTCTTTCAAGTTCCCAAATTGAAGTTCTCAAATTGCAGCAAATTTGAGCCAAATTCCCACACTGTGAATATTTAAAGCACCACAAAAGCCAGATGCCAGATCTCACCACGTTATTTTGGTTTAACCGAAATGAGATACATTTGAGCATCCCTGAGTGAGAGAACAGCCTGTCAGTGTTCTGAGGACTGTCAAGTGCCACCCTGCAAACAGTGGTGGTGACAGACTGGCATTATGTCGAGCCATCCCAGGAAAACCATACACAGCCCACGTGCCCTGCCCCCACCCCAAGGCCATCGCTCCCAACGCCCACCTCCTTCTCATCCCTCCTTCCAGAAACTCGCTCGCCTCCGCAAGGCCTGGCACTGCTCCCACCTCCCCACTCTGGGCACCCCCAGAGCAGTAAGATGGCCCTGCCTTAACCCTGAAGCCAAGCCAGAAGCCTGGCCCTGGCTTGGCCCCTCTCTTCTCCCTCAGTGTCCCCAGCCCTCTCACGCCGTGATCTGTGTCTCCATGAATATCAGGATGAGGACCAGGAGGGCGGGGACAGCCGCTGCCACCATCATCCAGGGCGGGAAAGGACGGGCACTGCCCAGAGGTGGGATGAACCATGTGCGCTTGTGGGGAGAGGTCACCGAGAGCCCTGTGGGCACTGTCAGCTTCTGCAAGGCAGGAAGGAAGACAGGGTTCAGGGACACAGCATCCCCAGGTGGGAAGCCCCCACAGCAGGTGCTCCCACCAAACTCTGTGTCCCCAGTCCTGGGGCTCTGGGGAAACTGGGAGAAATTCATTTTGCATTATCCAAAGGCACTGCCTCAGGGGCTGGGGATTTAGCTCAGTGGCACAGTGCCTGCCTGGCAAGCACGAGGTCATGAGTTTGATTCCCGGTACCAGAAAAAAAATCAAAAAAAAAAAAAAGAAGAAAGAAACAAAGGCACTGCCTCCATGGGCCAGGGAAACAAACTATCATCTCTCCGAGTGCTGGAGCATTCAGGAGACCTGGCATGGGGAGACCTGTCATCCTGCCCCCAACCACACCTGCTCCTCTGGATTCCTCCCTCTCGCGCCCTGCACAGCACCCTCAGCTGGACTGCAGGCTGCTCCTAGCACCCCAACCCTATCCTCCCAGTGTGGCTCCTTCAGGAGAGCTGGGTTCCTGCCCCGCACCTGACCCAAAGACAATGGAGATGAGCCATGGTCCCGGCTGTGGGTGAGAACCAGCTGCGGCTGAGGCCGGGCTCACCTGGGTGTAGGTGTCTGTAATGGAGTAGTCCACCAGGACCATCACCAGGATGGAGATGGGGATCCCAAAATCCCCGATGAGGCGGCGAGCCTGCGAGGGTTGAGGGGGGACAGACTAAGAACCAGAAGTCCCCACCACAAGTGTCTCTGAGCCCCTCCCGTTGGTGACAGCAGTGCCCAGAACATCCCTGTCCCAGTGAAATTTCTCTGGGAAACAGTGAGAAGTGCCAGAGGAGGAGGCTTCCGCTGGGGTGGAGGCCACTCAGACGGTCCAGGCCCATGGGCTCTCAGGGCAGGGGACCACGGGCTCTCTGGAGCACAGCCTGACAGTGGCAGCAGGAATCAAGGGCCAACGGAGATCCACACCCAGCAGCCACATACTTTGCCGCCCAGGAAGCGGCTGTTCCTGAACTTGCGCAGGAAGAAGGCAATGAGGAAGGTCCCCAGCATGAGGATGAGGGACAGCAGAGCCGTGTTGGGCTGGTTCTTGGGGCCAGGTGATCCATCAGTGGGGGGCGGGGCACTGCTGTTCAGCTCCTGGCCAGCATCCGGGGCCCCCTCAGGAGGGTAGAATGGCAGCAATGGGTGCTCTGTGAACACCTGAGTGTGGATAACGAAGATACCTTTCAGTCACTGGGCAGGCGACCCTAATTTTATCACCTTAGTGCACCTTAAGGCAAAGGGTAGCCCCTTAAATACCTGCAGAGCCAACATGACAGACTTCCAGCAACATCTCACACACACACACACACACACATACACACACACACTCCTCTACCCAGGACACCATCCCCTTAAAGCTGCCAGTACCCCTACTCCATCATGCACCTGTTCAGATGGCTCCTTATCACTAACCACCACCCCCCTCCACCCCAGCCATTGCCTAGAGCCTGGAACTGTCACCCTCCAGGTCTGAGTCCCTTGCCTTGAGGGCAGACCCAGCCCTGGGGTCCCTGACCCTACACCCACCCACACCCGACACAGCCCATCTCCTTGTCCCCTCTGCCCCACTGCTCCATCGCCCCCCGTCCAACGCTCCCAAGGACTCTACCCAGACCCCAGTCTACCCGCCCACTCTGGACCACCACCTTGTAGAGCTTATGGAAGGTCTCGTAGATGAAAATGAGCGAGATGAGGAAGGCAAAAATCTCCTGGGTGAAAGGCGAGATATAGCGGACCAAGAAGCTGCCTTCAGCCGCCACCAGGGCAAGGACAAACACCACCAGCCAGAGGCCAACCCACACGCGGCCAGTGAGGTACTCCAGCTCCTGGGATTGGCAGAACTGAAGACAGACAACAAGGAGGTTGCCCACAGCTGGTCTACCCTAGACCTCTATGCCCCACAGGATGGGCAATGGGTGCCTGAAACTGTAGGGACCATCACCCAACTGAGAAGGAGCACAGGGCAGAAGGGAGGGGGCAGCCAGGCCCTGGGCGGGGAAGGCAGGCTTCACCTTGAAGAAGGCTTCTTCAAAGACGAGCAGTGGTCCAGAGAAGCCGACCACGAGCAGCGGCTGGGCCCCCAGCAGAGAGAAGAGGATGCCAAGCACAGCCGTGGACACGATCAGCTCAGACACGCCCATCAGTCCCTCCGTCTTCTCTCCTGGGACAGGCAGGCTCAGTAGGTGCCCCAGCCCAGCTCTTTCTACCTCCCCCACTTCATGGAGTTTATCCTAAGCTAGGGGCCCCAGCAAAAGTGGAGCAGCTCCTAGAGTGACACCCGGGGGCCCTTCCCCAACCTCAATCTCCCCAGGGCCCTCCAGGATAGCACCCCTAGCATCTTGCCCACTCCCTCACTTGATAGCCCCCCAAAGTGGTTCCTGGGGTTCCCTGATACAGCAGCTCTCCAAGGTGATACTACCTTTCCTGCTGCCTCCAATCACCAGCTACCTGTGGTGATCCCTGGGACACTGACACTGAAACCTTACAGGTGGCAGTGGGTCCCCAAAATGACCACAGGAACCCCTAAGCCCCCCACTGCCCCTCACCTAGCAGCCCCCCGAAGGTGATGGCAGGGCTGAGGGCTGCGAAGTAGATGAAGAGCACAGCGGCCACGCACTGCGAGTGCAGGGCATCCCGCAGGTCACTGGGGTAGTGCGGGTACCGGCGCTTCACGTCCCGGACAAGCCCCCCAAACACCGAGCCCGTCCGCAGCAGGGGGTCATCTTCAGGGACTGCCTCAGAGCCCCCCAACTCCAAAGATAGCTCTGGGGGAACAAGGAGCCGCTGAAACACGGACAACTCCCTCCTGCTTGGGTTCCTGGCCTTAGCCCTGCACAACCCAGGACCTGGGGTCAGGAATGAAAGCCAAAGCCAGCACCAAGGACTCAAGGGTATCCGGACAGGCCTGGGGTCACAGCCTTAGGCTCTGGGATGGGGGAATGTATGTGTTAAGGGATGCAGCCCCAAAGGGTCTGACCTTTCCCAGGGGCCACATAGCCTCCCCGGGTGGTCATCTCGACTTTGGTCTGCTCGCGCTCCCGTCGCTTCTTCAGCAGCTCGCGCTGGAAGGCAGCTACAGATCGCAGCAGGTCACGGCCTTCCACCTCCGATGGAGGGATCACAATGCTGCCATCCAGGAACTCGCTGATGGCACTCAAAAGGTCCTGCCGGTCATCTGCCTGGTACGCAGCCTCATGAAACAGCTGTGGGAGAGAAGATTGTGACTCTCAGGAAAGGACTGAGGGAGGCCCTGGGAGGAGATCTAGGCGAGGTGGGGTCACAGAGCCCCACAGAGTGGATGGTTGGCCAGCTGCACCCATCCAGCCCAGCAGTACAGCTCTCAAAACACTGGTGCACATCCTTACAGGACAGCAGCTGGGCAATGGAGTGCCACTAGCTGGCCCTCCCAGATGTCCGCTCTCTCTCCCTTGGGCCCTCCACTTTCCCACATGCAGGACTGAAATGGTACAACCTGTCACAATTGGGACCTCCAGGGCCATTCTGACTGGGCAGCATCCATCCCTGCAGACTCACAAATCTTCCCAATATGGCACCCGGCTAGAAGACTCTCTGGTCCAAGCCCAGAAGAAGCCACAGCAAAGACCAGCACAGCAGCCTCCCATTCAGGTCCCATTATCCAAGGCTCTGGGGTCTGGGCTTCCTCTTCCCCTAGGTCATCAGCCCCTCCTACCCCTCAACCCAGGGCGCCCTTTTCTACCCTGGGCCAAAAGCTCACCTGACCACACTCCTGAGCATGACCTCCCCCTAGAGGGGTCTCCACCACCCTACACTCCATGGGCACCACTGTGGGGAAGGAGAGGGCCAGGGACAAGCATGAACCAGAGACCAGGCTTAGAGAGCCCAGCCTGGGAGTGCAAGGCCCACCTTGTCTGACATGAGGGTGGCAATGGAGCGCCCAAGCTCGTGATAGTCCGTACTGGTGTGGGTGGGCCCCAGCATCACAAAGAGGAAGCGGACAGGGACTGGGACTTCAAGCACAGACTCCAAGAGCACAGCCTCGCTCAGTCGCACAAAAGCTGCCGCTGGCTGCTCCAAGAATGGCACACAGCCTATGGGAAGAAGGCAGAGGGTGCTGGGCCAAGGGAAGCTGTCAAGGCAGGCCCTGGAGAGATGTGGGGCTTTCATCCACAGTTGAATAGGTTGTGCACCACACAAAGAAACCCCAACCTGAAAGGGGCCCTATTCACCTAGGTATTTATTACAGTTTACCAGTAGGTGGAAACTGCAAGTGTTAAACAAGGGTTGCTTTTATTCTAATTCTCACAGTGGTACTGTATGGTCTAGCAGCTGTCCCAGAGCCCGCCTCACCCACAAGCACGACCGTGGCCTCAGCATCTTCAGGGATCTTCTCCAGCAGCTTCAGGCTCTTCCCCCGGTGACCGTCTCCCCCAGGCATGTGGAGGGGCTTCTGAGGACGCAGAACTGGAATAGGGCTGGGACCCAGACTGGAGGCCATGGCAGGCCCTCCCATCCCTCACTCCAGCCCAGGGTCTGGACCCCGCCTCCAAGCTGTGCACACCACAACCTTATCTTGTCTCAGTGGCTTCCACCAGGCCAACATCATCGCATTTAAACCCTGTGTCCCCAGCCTGGAGACTCCTTGTGCATGTCACCTGCAGATCCCCTGTGTGCCTAGAGTGACACCAGGCAGCCAGCCTTCCCAACCCCCTCAACAAAGTCACTGACGACCTCAACTCAAACTGGGCATCTTCTCAGTCCCCCAGCCCAGGCCAGCGCAAGGTCACTGACCTCCTTGGCATCAGGGTCATGTGGCCAGAGCGGGGCTGGCTCCCCCAAGTCATCAGCTATCGTCGGCACCGCACCATCAGGCCCATGGCTAGGGGTTGGGTGATGATTCCCCAGGACTGAGTTCATGCTGGAGCTCGACGGGTTCCGGGGGAAGAAGCCACTGTCCTTGTCATCATTGGGATGGCTGGAAAAGGAGAAGCGCAGAGGGTCAGGAAGAGGGGTTCATGGTATACTGAGATCAAAATGGTAAGAAATGGAAGGTTGGGACATCCACTCTTCTGCTTCTGTATAAGAACTTTCTAATGGTGGAAGCTATAGAAACACTGAAGGACGTTGAGCCCCCCCACACTTTAGGTATTCAAGAGGAGGCTAAGAGAGTCTGTGCTCCTGAAAGGGCAGCTGAAGAGAGAGACCCCTTGGGGGGACCCTGCGCACACCTGTGCTTCAGGAGCAGGGTACGCAGCACACTGGCCCTGTCTTCTGGCCGGATCTGGTCTGACACAATCATGGTCTCCACCACAAGGTGTGCAATGCCCGGCAGGGTGGTTTGCTCCAGGTCCAGGAGGGCCGCTCCTACGATACAGCCAGGGGCAGGTATGCCCTGTCAAACAGGAAAACCACCCCTACACTGCCCTGGACCCCAAGGGCAGGCAGAAGTGCTAGGTGAGCCAAGCGCCTGACAAACCCAGGCAGATATAGTCCCATGTGGCTGCGGAGAGCTAGCGGGAGGGATGCAAGAACAAGGGCAGGAGAGGAGCAGAGCCCCTCCTCACCATGGAAGGGCAACACAGGTACTAAACACCTACTATGGACTAGGTACAGCACTAGGCACCAGTACACAGCCTGGCCATCAGCTTATGGGCTGCTCAAGTGGTCAGACTCCACGGCCCCAAGTGGTGGACAGATCTCGCCCAGGACTCTCAGGAGAAATTCCAGGCACCAGGCAACCTGGCACAGGCTAAGCCCTGTGATCACGAGGAGGGCCAGCAGCCAGGCCAGGCCTGAGGACCCCTACCCTGGGCGATGGTCCTCCTGAGCTCCAGGAGGCTGCGGAAGGAAAGTGAGGCAACGTGGGGCTTCCCCCAGCGCTCCGTCTCCTCCTCCACATCCTCTTCAAACTTGATCCAGCGTGCTGTCTCCCGCCAGTGGGGCTCCTGGCTTCGGTCCAGCATCAGCTCGTTCAGCTCCACAAACACCTGCGGCAGGAGCCAAGGTATGGGCTTGGGGGCCCACTGGGGAGGCAGCACAGACTGGCATGGGGGACACGGCCAGAGTGGCGCAGAAGCTGCAGGCCCACCTCTCAGAATCCTGTACCTCATGAGGCCTCCGGTCCAGCTTCTTCTTCTTCTTCTTCCTGCGCAGGATGGGGGCCAGGCCACTGGGGCTGCCCCTCCCACCCTGAGTCCGAGACGGCTTCTTCACGAGGTGCCGCCGCACACCCGGGTTGTCCTCCAGCCGGTGACCTGTGAAAAAAGTGGGCTCGGCAATCCCAGGGGTCCAGCTCGGACCTGGAGGTCATGGCCCAGAGATTACAGCCCTGCTCTACCCAACTGGTCTACTGGGTGGATGCCACTGTCACCAAGGGATCATGCTGCCAGGACCACATAATCCAGTGTGGCCATTGCCTACATTAGGAGTCTGACTCTCAGGAAGGAGGAAGACCAAGCCCAAAGTCCAACAGGGGACCACTGGCCAAGTCCCAACAAAGAAACCCCAACTTAGCCCGCACTCCCAGCTGGACACCCCAGCCCCTGCCATGCCACTGCCCCTTACTAACACCAGGCTCTAGACATAGAGCCCCAACACTTCAGTGTGTCCACCCTCAGCAGCCATGTCCCTGCCCCACAGGTACATATCCTGCATACTCAAGTGACTTGTCTCCCTTCCTCCCACCTGCCCTGCCCTAGCCAGCAGCTTCAGAGAGGCTGGCCACCCAGTTACTCACGAGCAGCTGCCCCTGCTGTGGGGCTCGGCTGGCCTCTGGTGGGCTCCCACAGGCCATAGTCCTCAAAATCCAGCACAAACATCTCTAAATCCTCTGAGGCCAGTGAGTCGCAAGGGCCAGAGGCTGGACACCTCCCAGGGCTCTGGCCCTCGATGTCCCCGAGCCCAGAGTTCAGTGCCCCATTGGGCTCCATGTCCTTGTCCGGCAGGCTCATCGTTGCCCCATGTTCCCTCCCAGAACCCCAGTTCTCCCCAGAGGAGGGAGCCTGGCCAGCAGCGGTCTCTGTCCAAGAAGGGCTGGAGATGGCGCAGCCTGCTGACTCCAACTGCTCAAGTCCCCAAGCCTGCTGCGTCCAGCCCCAACCCTGGGTGGGTAAACACACCCTCTGCGTGACCCTCCCCAACCCACTGCCACTGTTGCCGCCGCTACCACTGCCATCGGATTGTTCCTGTCCCTGTCCTCAGGCCCTGGCAACTTTCCATGACGTACTGAGCTCAAAGCCCTACCCTCCCCACCCCCTGCCCACACCCTGCGGTTCTGAGGAGGAGGAGGGCGGAACCAGTGATGCCCCTGGCCTGGGCACAGAGCCCTGTGGGTGATGACAGGTGGCACTGAAGCCAGGGCACTGATAAGATGGAAGGAATGTGCCGAGATCACGGCCAGGCCCGGCCAAGGGTGGTGGGCCAGGAGGGAGGAAGGCCTGGCACAGGGCGAAGCAGGGGGCTGGCAGGAGGCTCAGCCTCCGGGGGCTGGCTGGAGGGAAGTAAAGAGCTAGGGGATAAAAAGAGTCAGGAGAGGAGGACATGATGCCCTCCAACACCACGCAGGAGAGAGGGCTGCCTTCTTCCAGGGGTGACTCAGGGGACAGAATCAGGCAAAGGGAAGCAATGTCACGAAGGGAAATCTTGGCTCTGGCAATGAGAGGTGGCACGGTGAGATAGTGAGCTCCCTGTCACTGGCCACAGCCAAGCACGACAGGAATACTACGGAGGAACGGAGCCCCGGATGGAGGACAGCACAGGCCTCTTCGAGATCCCTGGCAGGCTGGAAGCCTGAGGGAGCGGGCCGGCGGGCTGCTGCAGGGTCTCACTCACTCTTCATGTCATCCAGGTCCGCAGAGCCCAGCATCTGGGCCTCCGCCTCGTCTGTGGGCACCTGCTGCTCTGGGCCAGCTGGATTGCCCACGGCACTGCCCGGGCACAGTCGCTCCCGCAGGTCATAACTGGCTGATGGGCTCCAAGGCCGGCCCTTCTCCACAGCGATTCGGGACGCCCGGGCCCGGGGGCTTGGGGAGCTGAGAAGGCAACACACAGCCTTGGGCTTGACAGGGAAAGGCAGGGAGATGCCCAGCCAAGGTTCCAGGACTTCCCCCCAGCTCAGAGACCTGGAGTGGGCAACAGGGCACTAGACACAGCCACCCTGTGCCCATCTTGCTGGTCCTCCTCCCTCTCTGGCCCGCCTCCCTCCGCAGCACCCCATCCTCATCACTCCGATACCCTGGTCCTTGAACTCAACTTCTTGGCTGCTCTTTCCTGCTTTGTCCCCTCGTCCTCTCCCCTTTTCCAGCCATGTGGACAGACAATGCCACCCCTGCTTCTCTTCCTGCCAGATCATACCGGCGGACATTCCTCAGGCTCAGGAAGGAGGGGACTGTCAGGAGCTTTGGGCCCTACTGTTCTGGGCTGGGCTGGGTCCTGCTAAATGGGGCAGGCGCCAGTACCTGACAGCGTGCTGGGGGCTCTGGTCTGAGCACAGGGCCGCCGAGGGCAGGGGCTTGGGGTAAGCTGCCCTCCCAGAGAGGCCTGGACTGTCATCCTCATCACTTCCAATGGAGAACTGTGGACAGAAGGCCGAACATGACTTGGGCCCTACTGCCCAGTGCCCACTGCATACTCCTCCGTCCCCCCATACCTCCCTCACCAGCCACCCCCTCAAGGGGAGGCCTCTACCTTTGCTTTCTGCGGAGACCCCGAGGGTGGGGGCTCCACAGGTTCTGCCTCAGACTCCCCTTCCTCTTCCTCTTCTTCCTCTTCTTCTTCATCTGCTCCAGCTCCCCCCTCTTCCTGGATGGGTGGGGTCCCCTCGGAGGGGGGAGCAGAAGTTTTCTCCTTCTTCCTCTTCCTCCTGGTGTGCCGGGCAGAGGTGGGGGGCAGTCGCCGAAGCTTGTGGGGTGGAGGCAGGCGCGCCGAGAGCGGGTGGTGGGTGTGGTGGGATGTGTGCCGGTGAACTGGGGGTGCAGGAGAGCCGGTTGAGGCTCCCACAGCAGAAGGGGGGCCCTCCCCACCCGAGGGGCACACACTTTACTCTAGCTCGAGGCCTCAAACAAGGGCACCCTGGCCCCTCCTCCAGGTCCTCCCAGCACCTGGCTCCGTGCGCAGCCACTGTCAGGCCTGGTACAGTGGCAACAGGAGTGATGGAAAAGGAAAAGTCACGGAACGGAGGTTGGACGGGGCACGTGATATGGCAAAGGGGGGAAAGAGAGCAGAGAGAGACAGCAGGAGGAGAGGACAGAGCGAGCAAGGCCAAAGGGGAAGATGAAGGTCACCGAAGGAGGCCTGGGCCTGTCTCCCTACATCTCCCCCGGGCTGGGGCCCATCTCCCCAGGCAGGCGGACAGGCGATGGGTGAGGGAGGCAGGATGACTTAACATGGCATGGTGGCCCAGCACAGAGTCCAGCACAGTGTCCAGCACAAGATGGCACTGGGTGACCAAGCCGGAGGTGAGCGCAGTGATGGTGACGATGAAGGTGATGGTGGTGAGGGTGGCCGCACTAGGGGTCCCCGGGCTACCCACACTCAAAGTCCCGCTCGCTGTAGCTGCGGCTGGGCTTCTCGGGGTCCCAGGCTGGGGTCTTGCTGATGAGGTCCCCAAACCTGCTCACAGCCAAGGTCTTGCCCAAGTCATCGTCCTCCTCCAGGTCTGGACTCAGTGGGGGCTCCTCCAAGGGCACCCGGACCTGCAGGCCCACAGAGCCTCTCCTAAGGACCCCTGACCCGTGAACGCCCACATCCATCCAAACTCCATGCCCTCCTTAGGGGTCAGGCAACAGCGAGCTCCATCCTCAACAGCCCTGGTCCCTGTGCCCAGGCCTGGGTCAACCTGGCAGAAAGCACCCCTCCAGGCTCCCGGGCCTTGCCAGGAGAGAGGACCACGCATCTGAAAAATGTCAAAGGCCCCCTCTTTCTTCCTACGCCCAGCCCATCTCAGTCCTTGGATCTAGAGATCCCAGGGTCTGCAGAGGTAGCGCTGGCAGTGCCCTCCGCGGGGTCCCTCCCGGTCCTCTTTCCCCACCCCCGCGCGTCAGTCACCTGGGGTAGGGGGGAGGCGCCCCCGGGCGGCGGGATCACTCCGTTGGCCATGGCCGGGCGCGCGGCTGGGAGGCTCTGGCTCACTGAGGGACCTGAGCCCGGGGGAAGAAGGGGGCGCTGCGGGGGCCTAGTGGGGAGCCCTGGGGGAGGAGGGCGGGGTCAGGATCTTCGCCTGGCCCAAGCCCCCACCCTCAGGCGCAGCCACGCCCTGTGCAGCCCGGCGCCCCCGCCCAGCCGTGCCCCGCCCGCTGTACCTTGGGGCTCCGGAGCCTGCGGGCCCCGGGCGGGCCGCCGAGCCCCATGTCCCTCCCCGCTGGGGCGCGGCCGCCGGGCTCCCGTCCGGCCTCTCGCCGCGCAGACCGGGCCGGGCAGACGCAGGCGCCGGAGCCCGCAGCCTGCGGCTCCACCTCCTCGCGCTCAGCTCCGCCGCCGCCGCCACCACCGCCGCACAATGGGAGCGGGAGGACGGTGACTCACCCGCCCCGGCCCGCGCGGACCCCGCAAGACCCCACTGCCAGCGCGCCCCTTCTCCAGGCGCCCGCTTTGCTGGGGCGGGTGCACGGCCCCAATTTCCCACAATCCCCCAGACACACTCCTCCACCTTGCGTTTAGCCTCCGCTCCGCTCTAGAGGTCTGGAGGCGACCCTCCGCAGACAAACCCCTTCCGGGCCCAGGGACAGAGATTTGACCCGTGAAGGACCCTCCATTTCCCTCTGAAGTCTCAGGACAACTGATGCCCTTTGTAGGCCTGGCCTCCTGCGCCTGGCATCACCCAACATTTGACCTTGGCTAATTATCTCCACGCCTGGATCTCGGTTTCCCCTCAGACAGGCCTCAAGTAGGGGTTCTGTCCAAGACCCGGTGGCTCCTTGTCCCTATTCCCTCTCCTCCTCCCTCCACACCTGCACTTCTACCTCACCTCCCAAGAACAAAGGTCTTTGGAAGGAAACGCTGGGTTCCCTCTCTGGGTCTCCGCAACTGAGCACCTAACACAAGTGCAGACCGGTAACAGCTGCTCCCTACACATCTGTCCCTGGCTCCTCAGGACAAATATAAGGGAATAAAGGAGAAACTAGGGGTGGAGCTGACAGGCGCAGCAAGTGGGGTGCCCTGCCCAACACGGTAAACAGACACCTGGGGTCAGCAAGGAGAGTGGAGAGGACAGGACAGAAGAACAGGCCCAGTGACCTTGAGCAGGTACCCTACCCCTTTTGGTGCCTGCCCTAGTTAGAATCTCAGCCCCACCCTAGGACAGAGTTTCTGCAGGCAGAGCCTTCCAGGGGAGAGAAGGAAAGGGAGCTCGATGCTGCTAGACCCACTTTGCTCCTGGCCCTGTGCTAGGTGGGCCCCTCCATGCTGCTCAGGACACTATCATTATTCCCATTTCAGCTGAGACATGTGGGGGAGGCCTGTTAACCTGCCCTGGCCACAGCTGGGAAGCAAGCTGCCAACCACCCTAGGCATCACTGGGCATCACTGATGTATGGAAACTGACCATCCTGGCCATGGATACTTAACTGCTCCAGGCCCTCCACCGTCCTCCAGCTTCACAGGGTGGTTTTGAAGGTGAAATGATACATTGTAGGAGTCACAGTCACATGTGAATTGTGTCCCACAATTCAGAATGTGAGGCCCATCTGTTGGAGGTTGAATTGTGTCCCTCAAACTTTCTATGTTGAAGTCTTAACCGCCAGCGCCTCAGAGTGTACCTTATTGGGAAGTAAAGTCCTTGCAGATGTTAAGATAAGACTGTACTGGAGTAGGCTCCTTATCCAGTAAGATGCATCCGTATTAAAAGGGGAGATTTGGAGAGATTCACAAAGGAAAACACACTGTGATAATTGGAGTTATGCTGCCTCTAGCCAAGGAACTAGCAGAACCTAGGAGAGAGGCTTGGAACAGGTCCTTCCCTAGCATCTTCAGAGGGACACTTTGACTTCAGGCTTCTGGCTCCCAGAATTGTGAGAAAATAAATATCCAGTTTAAGCTACTCCATGTGTGCTGTTTTGCTACAGCAGCCCTAGCAAACAAATCCACTCCCTGTCCTGTATCGCTATGAGTCAGGTCACTGGGTTCCAAGTCTCCAGCCTGAGTCTTGTTACTATGAGGCCTTCACTTCAAGAATCTTGGAGCCTCCTCCTCTAGAGAGCACTGCAGCAGGGCTTCCCGACCCTCAGTCTACCCTTGACATCAGGGTGCCAGCCCCTCTTATAGCCTGTAAAGTAAGACAGCAGCCACTTGTGTTCTGTGACAGCCTATGGAGGGGCTTGCCAACCCTTGGTACACTGAGGATATGACGGGTCTCTCTGGGGATCCCACCCCAGAGACGATGATAAGCACAGGTCCTCCTCTCCTGGGGGCCCAGTGGAAGACCCCCCTCACACCCAGAGTCAGTAACAATGGTCTCCACCCTCACAAGCACTTTCCTCTATCCTTTACCCATCTGGATAATGGAGTAAAATCTCCCCTTAAAGGGTCTTTAGAAGCCCATGTTCATCTCTCATTGTGGATAAGGCAAGTAGGTGATGCTGACACCCCTAATTGTCTCCTACCAGCCCATCTTATTAAACAGGATGTATGCTTTCATTATGCCTACAGATCTGGCATCCTGCCTCCCGTGCACCTGTACTTGTCAGTCTCCTACAGTGTGTTCCCGATGGGATCTTCGTTCTGTGACAAAAGAGCATCTTTTGCATGCACAAAGGACAGCCACTTCAGGTGTGCCAGTTCCCAGCTCAAAGCTTGTGGACACTCAAATG